CTCACATGATTAGGAGAGGAGCTGGCTGTCAGTGTGTCAGCTAACAGTGCACTTATGATTTCAGTTTTGGCTCTAATTATTGCTCTATAATTGTATTATTATAACTGGGTCGAAACCGACCCTAACAACACAAAGGTCATAATTTCCACCAGAGCATTTCATAATTTAGTGAAAATATTTTTTTTTGTTTTATTTTGTTGAAATACAGGTATATATAAACAAATTGAAAGTGATATGCATTTAAAATTTTAAACGGGTCGGTGCCGACCCTAACACAAGAGGAAGGTTATTCTTTTCTAGTGTAGCTGCCAAAAACAAGGGGACCCAGTGGTGCTAAAAAAAAAAAGTTGCTTGTGAGTAACTCTCAGACTTTGACGATGAGGAAGTGAAGAGCGCAGCAGGGGCTTCATTAAACTGATTCACGGCTTCATAATCACACCGTCCCAGAATTCAATGTGCATTTAAATCAATAGAATACAAATCAATAGTGTATTGATGTTCATATCTTTAACTCGTCGTATCAATGTTACAAAAGGACCTACAGATTTCAAACACATGCTTGGATGATTGAATCATCTTAAACTTAAACTTAAACTTAAACTTATCTTTATTTGTCATTGTGACACAGCACAGCACAGCACACCATGCACAACGAAATTTACCCTCTGCATTTAACCCATCACCAAAGTGAACAGTGGGCAGCCGTGGTCAGCGCCCGGGGAGCAGTGCTTGAGGACGATGCCCTGCTCAGTGCATCTCAGAAACGGGAGGGAGACTGATTGAGATTGATATAAATAACCACCTTGGGGAAAGCAAAACAAATCCAATTCCCCACTGCCCTCCTGTTTCCTCCCATCCTGTCTCCTCTCTGAAAACCTAACCATCTTTTCTCTCACCTCATTTTCATCCCTGAGGAATTTCAGGGGCAGCTCTATCAAATGCATCAAATTATACAGGTGTCCTAGGTTTCAAACCCTTTGATAGAAATAAGGTCAGTTGTGATGGAAATATTTTGTCACATAACCTACTTGAATATTTGCCCTAAATGAAGGCGACTCTTCCTTTCTGTCCATGTCAACGATGACTGAAGAGCGCAGTAGGGGCTTCATTAACCAGAGGTTACATGTTCGCTGGCCTGGAGTTTGGAGCCGAGTGCTACTGCAGCCACAAGATCCAGGCACCTAACGCGTCAGAAAGTGAATGCAACATGGAGTGTAAAGGAGAGAAGAGCAACATATGTGGAGGAGAAAACAGACTGTCTATCTACAGACTGGAGCTGAGCCAGGAGTCGGCACGACGCTGTGAGTCTGACTCTCATTTAAACATTAAATCCCCTGAGGTTTTACACTGGAATCCAGGAGTGATAACTGTAAAAAAGTTGCAAAATACAAAAATAGGATGGAGTTTTTTTATTTTTAACAATTAATAAAAACTGGATGAGAATTTACAGAAAACAAAATTTCAGTTTTTTACAATTCACTTTTCATTATGATTAGACTCTACTCTATTAGACAATATATAATAACGAAAGCTTTAAAAAGTCAGCCATAGTTTGGAATTTCACACACATTTATATAATATTTATTTAAAATATAATATATAATAATATTTATATTCTTGTTCAGGGGTTGCTACAGCAAATCATCGTTTTCCATCTCACCCTCTTCTCTGAATCTTTTACTCTGAATCCAAATATCTGCATATCCTCGCTCACTGCATCCATATATCTCCTCTTTGGCTTTCCTCTTTTTCTCCAACCTGGTAGCTCC